GTATACGGGCGGGGACACGTGCTCTTAGTATAGTCTAAAAGAAAGTGTCACTAACCAGCCACTTCAGGGACAGCCTCATGGCCTGGCACTTTGGGAGAGTAAATATATTTTTATTCTTTCGAGACTGTGGCAGCGGGCGAGAGGTGACGGATCGAATCGCTGGGAGTAAATGAAAGATATCTCTTGGTCGGCGATCTTAATTCTAGATGTGTAAGAGAGGCGCAGATGGTGTCGTGTTGAACGGATGTTTAGACTCGATAATGTTAATTCTTTAGGAGGTAAAATAACGGCGCGCGGAAATCTGAATCTGATCCAAAGCTCGAACATGCGTTAATAAGCGATCACTTTGGCAGCAGATTAAAAGTCAGTGGGAACAAGATCCTTCTTTTTTTTGCTCGGGTTAGATAGTGATGCCAAATTAAATCTGATCAAAGACAAAATCTCAGACACTATCAGACCTCAGGAGTAAGATGATCATGTCTTATTTGTCCGGATCTTCAAGGATTTCGGGATAGACGTGTAAATACACTCACACATCAAGTGGTTTAGACGACGAGGGATGCAATCACTCCTAAAATGATGGACATTTCGAGTTTTGGCGCCGAAAATTAAATTGCGATGATCTTTTTATCTGCTGTACAGTTTCCGTAAAATGTTTCCTGTTGTTGTCGTTGGTTCTTCGTGTACTCAATTTCTAAACTCCACAGCGTGTCTACATGCGGGATTAAATATCTATTACGGATGTATAGATAATTTGCAGTGTTCAAATTAGTGTAAATCTATAATAAGAAATGTTTAGACGACGCTTATCACGACTAGTCTGGTGTCTTTGGTTGATATTGATATTCGTAAGAGTATTGCGAGTTCGTTATGGTACTGTTTGAAGCGTCTATTAGTATGCTTTTAGCTCCTTTTGATCTATGGTTTGGTTAAAAAATACACAATCAAATCTAGTCATTTAATTTTCTCTCCCTCACTCTCCTTTCCTCCCTCTCTCCCTTCTTCCTTCCTTCCTTCCTTCCATCCACCCTCCCTCCCTCCCTCCCTCCCTCCCTCCCTCCCATCCACCCTCTCCGCAACCCCTCCCACCAACCTACCCGCAGAGACGACGCGAACGACACAGCCCGAGTGACGAACACCTTCAAAGTGGAGTCGTGGCACAGCATGGTGGTGACCAAGTACCTCCACCACCCACTCAACTTCACCAGGGACCTTATGAGCCACTTCTTCGAGGCTGCCGTGGCCTGGGTTTACGACGTGAGCCAGATGGATACGAATTATATGTAAGCTTTCTTTGTTTTGGTGTTGATGTGTGTGTGTGTGCGTGTCTAAGTGTGTGTGTGTGTGTGTGTGTGTGTGTGTGCGTGCTTGTGTGTGTGTGTGTTTAAGTGTGTGTGTGTGTGTGTGTGTGTGTGTGTGTGTGTATGTGTATTTGTAATTGTGTGTGTGTTTGAGTGTGAGTGTGTGTTTTGTATGCTGATGAGGTCTAGTTGTTTACCGGTTGAGGAATAGGCCTATATATTTTTCTCTATCTTTGGGTAGGCTTCGCAAATTAATCAATGTTGAAAGTATAGGCACTTCATAAATAATTCCCGTTCGCATTTTCTTCCCCAGTTATCCCAACATAGCCTGGGACACCCTACATCACGCAGGGGCTTCGCAGATCCACCCGCATATCCACATGATGATGGCTCCCGACCATTACTACGGCTATTTTGAACTTCTCCGCTCGGCCGCCCAGAGGTACTACGAAGAGAAAGCCGAAAACTACTTCAACGCTGTCCTCGAGGTTCACGCCGCCCTGGGACTCGCGGTGCATTATGGGAAGGCCGTGGCGATCTCGACCGTGGTGAGTGCGGTTCGGGTGGAAAGGGGTTGTGAGTATAATGACTGAAATTCGAGGGATTGTGATGATAACGACAATATGATTAAAAAGGTTGTTAGCATAGCGACGGCGAAATCCAAAAGACCATAATTATAACAACAAAGCTCAAGAGATTCTGATTATAACGATTCGAAAGTCAGATGAATTGCAATGACAGTGGTGACAAAATTCAAGAGATTATGTTTTTTATAAAGACGATATATTTTTTAAAGTTTTTTATGTATCTTTTTTTCTTAGTTTTACTTTTCACTTTATTATTATTCTCATTTTAATGGAATAGATAGTGATACCAAGATCATTTTAACCGCTATCACCATGATTATCATTGATATATTATTTTCATTCTTATCATCATATATGTTCTTATGATAACGTTTTCTATGTATTACAATTATTACCAATAGTAGTATCACCATTTCTATTATCATTATATCAACTATACTTATCATCATTTTTGACGTACTTTCACAGCAAATCTAACCTCAGCATCTGCCGTTTCCCCCAGACTGGGAAAGCCGACCTGGAGGTGATGTTCCTGAGCGAGCGTCCCGACGAAGACTTCTACCACCTCATCTACTACACAGTCAATGCGTACCACGATACATTCACACAGCT